TTTATGTTTTATGGTCTTTCTGACATTGGTATACAAACTCCTTGGGGGCAGGGCCTCTGTTTCTCTTGCTCACCACTGTGTCCGCAGTATCTACCACAATGCTTGGCACATAGTAGGTGCTCATTTAAGGCTTCTTAGCTTAAAATGTTTGCTGACTAACAATTTGACCAGGAGTCAGAGTGGGGACATTAGGACTATAGTGGATTCAGTCCAGAGTCAGTCACAAGCAGAGGAAGAATCACTTACAGTTTGTGGGATGTACAGCTAGGAATGGAGAGCTTTGTTGAGTGAACGCTTCGCCCCTGGCCAGCTGGGCATGGCCCATGTTTTAGACCTATTTCCTCCATATTTTGTGACTCTATCTATTCCTTGACAATGTCAATTTCCCTTAACTTTTTTGCTGATTTCCTCTCAAAGATGTTAACCCAACATCAATATGACTTTGGACAAACTATTCACGGGCCTTGGTTTTCCTACCCATAAAGTGATTTGGTTTTTGGTAGAGAATTCTGAAACTGTCTTTCAGCATTGTATTTCTAATTATTAAATGTCACTTTAAAGAGCCTCAGGTCATACTCTTTCTGAAAAGTAATGTAACAATAATTTATAAAGGACTTTAAAAAGAATTTCACTTTTAGAACTTTAGCCTAAAGAAATAGTCAGAAATTTGAACAGAGATTTAGTCACAACTATGTTCATCTTAGAATTATTGCTAACAATTAAAATGTCAGACACAACTTAAATAATCGAAATAAGGAAGACTAAATAAATGCAAGTACTTATATTTTTGAATATTATATTAGAATATATTTGAATATTGGAATAAAAATTCCAACAACCATTGGAAATGAAGATTTCCAAAAAAAACTGATCATGAGAAAAAAAATTTACAGTGCAATATGAAATTGTTTATAATCTCAATCTGCAAAATGCATATGTTCATGGGAAAAAAACCTGGAGGAAATTAACTTGTAATTATCTCTGGGTCATGAGATTAGCTATTTTTTTGTATTTGTTATTATTTTCCAAGTAATCTTCAATGGATATATCGGTCTTTTGGCAGCCAGTGAATTGCACTGTTAGGCAGGAATGGATTCCAGTGCTGTGAGTTTGGAGTCTGAAGTCTTAGGTTTGGTACAGTTTAGCTCAACAAAAATTTATCGAATGCCTTTTATGAGTCAGGTGCTGTGCCGTGAGCCGGGGATAAAACACGGGTAAGGCAGAGTCTGACCAAGAGCAGACTGAAAACTGAAAATCTGCCATAGAGGTAATTGCAGGCACTGTGGGAGCCCAGGAGAGAAGGAGAGGGTGTTTGGGAGAGAGGGATGAATGGAACACAGAGCTTCAGAAACAGCATCCTGAAGGTGCTGGGTCCCAGTTCTGGTCCTACTTGCTTGCTTGTGGCCTTGGACCAGTCATTTAACCTCTCAGCTTCTCAGTTCCCCATCTGTGAAATGGCAATAACACTACCAGGTCGTTTTACTGAACCAGGTTGTGATTTTTGCAGATTGCATCGAGACAGAGTATAGAAATGCCTTTGGTACCTGAGAAGTGCTATCAGGCGCTGCCGGACTTGACCAAAAGACAGCAGGAAGTAGAAGCCTTGATTTAACGTTTAACAGAGCAGCAAGGCCAGGGGCCAGTTGGATGACAATTCTCTTGTGTCTTGGATGAGCTTGCCACTTCTCCCTGCCTCTGAGCCTAGCAGCTATTTTGTGGTGTATTATTGCTCAAAAGAAATGCAAAAAAGCTGATGTGGGGATAAAATGGGACTCTTCAGCAGATTCTCAGCTTCCACATTGTACTGTCCCCTCCCTCCAGCTTCAGCTCTGGGGGTGACCTTCTGAAATCATTATGTTCTTTGACCCAGAAGAAATTGTGCTGCAGTTGAGGATCCAACGCCCTATTGTTTTGAAATTATCAAGCCTGGGTACTAACTGGAATTAGACTGGGGGGCTTGTGAGGCTGGTTGCATTGATGTTCAGTTTGCAGCTGTTTAAGCTGGATTCTTTTGTGTCAGTGGCATGTCCCATTGGTCCCAGTCCCTGGGCCACCACACATTTTGGAGCAAAAGGGAAAGGCTGAAGCTTCTCCTTCCATGGCCAGATCTCAAATCTGCTTACTTGGAAAGGCAATGGCACCGGGGACGGGATTTGGTAGTTCCCTCAAAGAGTCCGAGTGTCTGCTTCTTCGTTCTTCTTTGGAGTAGTGCTGGCTCTTTCCTAGGAATCCTTGCATACAGTAGTTGGTTCATTCTCTCTCCCTCAGAACTTTCTCCTATCTCCTCTCTCCCCTTCCCTCCCTTTCATTTTCAGTAGATATTTATTGAGAATCCATTATGCATCTGGCATTGTGTAGCCTCTGTGGGGAAAAAAATTGAAAATGCCACCGAAAGTTTTAGATAAATACTATGGAACTTTTGGCGAGCTTCATGGAGGTCTCTCAGGTAAGGCTTCATGGAAAAGGGGTCTTCTCAGCTGAGTTTTACAGTAAAGCTAGAATCTGGATAGCCCAAAAAAGAGGAGGGAATAGTCCAAACAAGGGCGTGGAAGTGGGGACTGTGAATTCGTCCCAAGTAGGGTGGAGAGTAAGGTGTCAGAGCAGACAAATGTTGGCCTGCCTTCATTTCTCCTGTCTCTCGCAGGGGATGGATAAACCTCACTCAGCCATGAGAATTCCATTTCTTAGCATGGAACTTTCTTCCCCTTCTCTGGTTCTGAAGGAGTAATCTTTGTACACCTGGGCTCTTCCAAACATTTCACCTGCTGGCTGAAGAATTTTGACAGAAAAAGATGACAGTGGCAACATTAATACCTGCAGTTTAAAGACGGTATTTCCTTCTAAGTTACAAAAAACATTAACGTCATAATTAGCAACACCCATTTTTTTTTACGAGCCTGCTCTCTCTGTGTGACTCTAAAAAAGCAATTTTATCATTGCAGTCCCAGACCTTAAGAAGCTTCATTGTACACTTCTACAAGCCAACAAGTGCCTTGAAAATGGGGACTGGGTCTTATTTATTCTTGTAACCTTAACATGGTATTTCATAAAAATTTGTTGAATGACGGTCCTAATGTGAACAGACAGATAAGGGCATGTATTCTGAAAAATCCGGGAATAAGAATAAAGTGGTATCAGCCTCATTTTCCGGGAAGATAAATTAGACAAAGCACATGAAGAGCTTTGCTCAGCCTTTCCGTCAAAATTTGACAAGGTTCTCTTCTGAGTTTTGGCTCCGTGGCAAGCTCTGCACGGCCTTGGCAGAGCAGGGCCTGTCGTGTCTGCCACATGGCTGCTCCCCTGCAGAGCCAAAGGATGAGGCCATTTGGAGACAATCACCTTCTGTCCCTGGGCTTTGACATCTGGAAGGTGGACGACCAACAGGCCTTGGCCAGCCCTCTTGGCCCTCCAGCTTGCTGCATGTTTGTTGGAAGCAGTTTTTCAGAAGAAAGCCATGGTGGCGAAGGTCACCTTCTGGACAAATAATTCCGGTCCAAGGGCACCAGCTGCAATAGGGAGTTTGAGGCAATGAACAAATGAGCAAATGACTTTGTCTTAAAAGAAAAGAAGATTTTGACAGAGCTGTGGCTGTCCTTTGCTCAATAGGATTGGCACTCTGTAGAGAAGCGACTGAGGATGGCTTGGTTAGAATCCAATTTTAGGAATTAGTTCTACTCACAATAAGGCGTGTTAATAGGTCCCATGTTGAGCAGGCAGAATTCCCTGTCTCAGGTGCCAAGTGCCAATTAATGAAATCAACATTCAGGCCCCACAGGTAAACAACCAGTCAGGGTCCATTCTCCCAGAGCTGTAGGCAGGCATTTCCCTCAGTAGCACAGACTGTAGATAAATAGACTGTAAGCTCCAAGAAGACAGGAGTTATGCCTGTTTTGTTCACCACTGTAGTTCCAGTTGCCTGGCTTGCCCTTAGCACCTGTATTAGATTGCAAAGAAACCCCGGTAAGTCTTCCCCTCCCTCCATCCTTGCCCCTTGCAATATGACTTTGCAACTCCTGGCTTTGGGACTTGCTTTGGCCATACAATGGGGCAGAAGCTATATGGTGTCAGTTCTGGGCCTGGACTTCAAGAGGCCTTGCACACTTCTGCTCTCCTTCTTGGGGCCTGCAGAGCCTCCATGTGAATGAGCTCAGGCTGGCCTGCTGCAGAGTGAGAGCCACAAGGTTTGGTCACTCTTACCACCCCGAATGACAACCAGCCAACCCCCAGAAGTATAGCTGCCTCGATGGCCAGTAGCTGACCACAGATGCATGAGTGAGTCTAGCTGAGATCAGAAGAATTGTCCAGCTGGGTCCAACCTGAAAGGTCACCCAAAGAAGTGCAAACTAAAGAAATGGTGATTGCTGTAAGTCGTTAATTTGGAGTAGTTTGTTATGCTGTAAAAGCTAACTGATTAAGCACCCAATATATGTTTACTGAGAGATGGATGGGTTATTGACTGGATGTCACCCAACCTTAAATTGCTTATCCACTCACTTTCTTTTATATTATCCTTTTATTTTCTTCCTAACACTTACCATAAGCAGAAACTATCTTGTTCACTTATTGGTTTAATTATTTACTATCCCCTTTTCCAGTATAGAAGCCCCATAAGGGTAGGAGGAAATCTTGCTTATCTTATGTTAACATTCCTATGGCCTAGAACAGTTCTTAGCACATAGTGGGCTCTCAATAAATATGTACTGAATGAGTGAGTTGATTTCATTAATGTCACTTATAGTGAGGCTACGTGAGCCAAGAACTTGGATATCACATATCTTGGCTCAAGTGTCCTCTGCTCTTTGTTTTCCTTGGAGGGGAGGACACAAGCTTTCCTTGACCCTCTCAGGGTCCCTGGCTGGGTCTGAAAATTAAACTGACAAGACAGATGAACAGCAGAAAAGCATACAAATTTATTTCGTGTAAGTTTTACCTGACACAGGAGCCTTCATAAGGAAATGAAGACCTGAAGAAACGGTTAACTCTGAGTGTTCTTATGCTAGGTTTGATGAAGAGTGGACGGTTGTGTAGAAATGTGATCAGGGAAAGAGTACGAGGTAAGTGTAGTAGACTGAGGGAAACTTACCAAGGCCTGTTTGTTCCCATTCTTCTGGGCCTCCCTTTGTCTGCAGAGAGCACGATGCTTCTTTCCTTTGCGTGTGGAGAGGGCACCTCTCACTTGAGGGTTTTATGACCTGTTTTATGGGAGAAGGGGCGTTGCTCAGAGTGACCTTCCTGCTTCTGCTGTTTTCTCAAACACCTTCAGCTTAAAATATTCGCTATGCCAAGGTGCTATATTTTGGAGTAATATGTTCTGAACCCCATTATCCTTAATTCCTTTCTTTGTAAATTAGCACTTATTGGGGCCTGGCAGATGAAAATAAAGATCCCTACATTCGTGGAGATAGTGTTATATTTCTTTTCTTCTACTTCAATTCTTAGGCCCTTATTGCCCTTCCCCAATAATTTTTAATTATCTGTGTTTAGATGAGGAAAGCCTTTGGTTTGCTTGAATTTTCTCCATTAAAATCACCACCAGTGGGGTTCTATTCAACAGGTATAAATTTTCAGTTAAGCAAGATGATTAAGTTCTAGCAATCTGCTGCACAACACTGTGCCTACGGTTGACAATACTGTATTGTACACTTAAAAATTTGTTGAGAGGGTAGATCTCCTGTTGAGTGTTCTTACCACAATTTTTTAAAAAAGAAATGTAATATAATACGGCTGCAATTTATTAGGATTGATAGAGTTCAGAACATAATGCCTCAAAATATGGCACCTTGGCATATTGAATTTTTTTTTTTTTTTTTTTTTTTTGCTTAGGAAGATCTGCCCTGAGCTAACATCTGTGCCAATCTTCCCCTATTTTGTATGCAGGTCACCACCAGAGCATGGCTGCCAATGAATGGTGTAGGTCAAAACCTACTCCCAGGAACTGAACCCAGGCCACTGAAGCGGAACCTGCTCAACTTAGCTGCTAGGCCATGGAAACGGCCCCTTGAATATTTTAAGCTGAAGGAATTTGAGAAACAGCAGGTGCAGGAAAGACTCTCTAACTTCTCTCTCCTCTCTTGAAGCATAAATCCCTCATGTGAGAGGAATGCTCCCTATACCCAGCAGAAAGGAGCATCCTTATCTCCGAAGACAAAGAGACACCAAGAAGAATCCTAACAAACAGCCTCCGCAAAGTTACCCCAGTTTATCACACCCTTTTGTCCTATCATATTTTTCCACAACTTCCCACTTTTCATCAAATCTTCTATTAAAAAATGCTGAAGTTGAACTCTTTCTTCAGGTCTCCATTTCCTTATGAAGGCTGTTGTGTCATGTAAACTCATATTAAATAAATTTGTATGTTCTTCTCTTGTTCATTTGTCCTTTGTCAGTTCAATTTATGGTGCCCCAGCTGGAGAGCCTAGGAGGGTAGTAGGGAAAGGAATTTTTCAGCCACTACAAAATGATATTAAAAAGAGTACAGTGGCAGTTTTTCTGACTCTAAAGACTGGTTCTTTGGATATGATCAGAGTCTGATAGCAGAAACATTGCTCATGGTATTCACAAATACATCCTTAGCAATTAAAAAAAACACTGGGCTGGCCCAGTGGTGTAGTGGTTAAGTTTGCACGTTCCGCTTCGAGGGCCCGGGGTTCGCCAGTTTGGATCCCGGGCATGGACATGACACTGCTTGTCAAACCATGCTGTGGTAGGCGTCCCATATATACATATATATATATATATATATGTATATATAAATATATATACATATATATATATATAAAACTAGAGGAAGATGGGCACGGATGTTAGCTCAGGGCCAATCTTCCTCAGCAAAAAGAGGAGGATTGGCTGCAAATGTTAGCTCAGGGCTAATCTTCCTCAAAAAAAATAAAAACTAAAAACTTTTTTTTTAACAAAAGCATCACCACCACCATCAGTAGCATCATCAACAACAATAGCCACAGCAACCAAGGTTAGTTTCTAAGATTTCCTTTCTCTTCCTTCCCCTGCTCTTACCTCAGATATTTATCTTGGCTTCTTGGTATTATTTACCTTAAACATTTCCTTTATTTACTCATGTTTATCCTCTACCTTAGATCCAAGTGGACAGAGAAATTACACAGAAGACAATGGAGACTTGCACTTTAAAGATTTCCGCTTAAAAATCAGAATTGTATTTATCTGGAAAAAATTCTTATAATGCGACATACACAAAAGGAAGTCTATCTCCTATTTCTCATCAACTATTGTTAGTGAGTTATCTCTAGGTTTTGTAAGGAACAAAAAGTATAATTATTATTTTAGTATACATCTCCATTTTGGAAACAGTATAGCGCAATAAATGAGTAGATTTGGACTTGGGTTGGAGTCTTACTGTAAAATGGCCAAACTCGTGGTAGATTTCTTTTCCCCTTTAGGGTCAGGGACTCCAGCATCTAAACATCAACTGGAATAAAGAGATGAACCTCGACTTTCCCAGAAAGCCTTTGTGTTATTTAAACCTGTTGCCCTCCACCTCTTGGGCTGAGAAAAAATATCTAGGAGTCAAAGGAATGGATTACTTTCTTGCATAGTTCAGGGGAGGAGAAGTTATCCTTGATCCTCTTAGGGTCCCTGGCAGGGTCTGAAAATTAAACTGACAAAGACAGATGAACAGGAGAAAAGCATACAGATTAATTTCATGTAAGTTTTACATGACACAGGAGCCTTTGTGAAGAAATGAAGACTCAAAGAAACAATTAAGCCATTAAGTATTTTTGTATTAGTTGTGGTGAAGAGTGGACAGTTGTGGAGGAACAGGGCAGGTTAAGGGGTGTGAGGTAAGCTTGGTAACCTGAGGGTAATTAGCAATCCCTTTGTCTACAGAGATAAGGATGCTTGTTTCCTTTCCAGGTAGGAGGGCACCTCTCGCCTGAGGGTTTTATGATTTGTTTCAGGGGAGAAGGGCAGAGGAAGGTCAGAGTCGCCCTCCTGCTTCTGCTGCACTCTCAAACTCCTTCACCTTCAAATATCCAGTATGCCAAGGTGCCATATTTTGGGGTAGCACGTGCTGAACCCTACCATTAGACATTTCAGAAACTTTTGGCATCGCCACAGATTATAGTCATTTTTGCTTTAGGAGGAGGGAAGAGGAGCTAGAAAAGGAAAAGGAAACTTCTTTTTCACTGCTCAGATTACCCCTCCCAGATAATTGCCCACATGGCTTCTCTTCAAGCCTGACTCTGACCATGAGCCGCACATGTCATATGGGACACAAAATATGTGGCTGGCGGACTGCCCAATACTCAGAAAACCTCGTATGGAGGGATTCAGCTGGGTCGGTGAAATCTCTCAATTTTTAAGACAGTGTGTGTCGGTTCCCTTGAAAATTTATGTTTGCTACTATCTTTCTTTTCACTCTTCCTTTCCACGTGGGGCTTGCACATCAAGTGTCTCTTCCTTGGTCTGTCTTTTGGACCATTTATTTGGCTTTCAAATCAGCTGATCAGAGCGCTGACTTCAGGGGGCGAGTGAAAAGAAAGGAATCCAGCGGAAGGCTCACCTGCACCTCTTCCTGTCATTGACGTTGTCAGGAGGGATTTATTAAGCACTGACTTGTGCTTAATCTCCCCTGTAGCCTAAATTTATTGTGGAGAAATCTCAGACTTTAGTGGGTATCCGAGTGTTTCAGATTCATTTGCAGACGAGCCTTCATGGCAATTCGAATGTTTGAAGACAATGTTCCACAAATTCTTCTGCTTTTATTCACTTATGACCTGTCATTATGGGTTTAGAAATTGAGTGCCTTAGACTTACACTTGTTGAGCAAATTTTTATAAAGATCTCATTCCAGAAAGTGAACCTAAGTGGCATTTTTAAGGTAATCTTTTTGCTCTGGCCAGTACACCCAGCCTCTGCTTCCCATTTGCCCGTGTCAGTGGCCTGACCCTTGCTTGCACGCAGCCAGGACAGCAGATCCTGGAAAGCCCAAGGACGGGGATCAAAATGTGGATGACAGGAAGCTCAGCAGGAGGATATTAACACTAATTAGAATACTTTTTCCTGACCACAGATAATGATGGCTTTCTTTGTTCAGCATCCTGAGTAAATCCCCTCACTACAGATTTCCATACTCTGAACCAATCTGAGCATCTGGACGAAACTGCTGTTATGGCCGAATTAGCCATTCCAATTAGAGAAAGTAGGCAGCCACCTTGTGTTTCGATTCCCCGATCATCTGCAGTAACTGGATTTAAGGGGGGTTTATGAAGCCGTTCCTAGAAGGAAGAAGCATTAACTATGACATGACCTATTAAGCATGTGCAGAAGTTATGAGCTCAGGAAGGGTAGGGACACACATAAGTATTTTGAATTGACACAATTTTTTTCTCGTCACTGTGTTGGCTCTGTGCTGAATTAATTCCACTTTTATCTTGCTTTTAAATAAAAATTTATGGATGGCAGCTGAGGTCCTTCTTAGGGTCTTTATGATTTGGGATTAAGATCCTTAAGTGCCTGGGCAACTCATTAGCATATGCACTCTAGCCACTTGTATGGAGTCAGTGGAGGACAGGAAATGAGGGAGAAGGATGGAGAAGAACAAAGGAAAAATAGGTAGCCATTTTTAGATAATATATTTAAATAAAAATAATAATAATTTTTAAACTCTTATTATTATTTTGCTGGAGCAATTAAAGGGCCTCCTTTAAGAGCTAAAGAATGCACGCTACCTCCAAGTATAGCAGAATAAGCATCTTGTCCAAAATGTAAATTCATTTTGAAAGTAAGGGTTAAAACATCTAATTCAAATTCTAAACCTCGAATTAAAAAAATTTAAAAACAATTAAAAATACAAACAACATTCTGTGAGGCAAAAATCCATCCAGCTAGTTGGATTTGTGCTTGTTGTTCAGGGCTGAATGGATGTGAAGATCAGTGTGCAACCTTGAGCCCTTGACCAAAACCCACATCCCAAATGCTTCCATGCCAGACTGTCTCCTTTCCACCCCCACCGATGATGAGGTACCAGAGGGCGTGAATCTCAGGATGCCCCTTCCTTGGCAGAGTCTCTGCCATGGCTGTCACCTGCTGAAGCAACCTCGCAGGGAAGTAGTCATGTAAAGTCATACAGCACCGAGCATGAGGAGTTTTTGTAATGCAGTTCCTTCAACAAGGGTTTGAACTGGCCTACCCCTGACCTTTGGGGATCTGGGCCAAAGTGCAAATGGAGGCCACAGGCCACCCTTTTCTTTCCATTTCCAGTTCTGTCCCATGCCTTGAGGACTTCTTCTCCCTTGGAGCTGGGGACACCCCAGCAGGCACATCCAAATTCCATTCCCCACCTCTACCCCCAAACAGCTGTGCCTTGGCTGCCCTTGGACCTAGGAATGTACATATTGATGAGATGGTCTGCCCTCAGATGGGTGGCTCAGCGAAAAGTCACTTGGGGCCCTGGCAGTAGGCTAGGGTTGTTAGGGCATGGATTTACGAGGTCCTGGGTGCCAAGGGTATGAACCAATGAGGTCTTGGGTGCTGAGAGCATGGCCTAGGGCACCTGAGGCACGGATTCTGGTAGGCTTTCCTTTCAGTCCCGTGGACTCCTTATCAGTGTGGACCCCTCTACAGGGCATGGGGTCCCTGCGGCCTAGGTGTAAGGGCAATCCTGGACTTGAGAGCTACCACTCTGTTAGCCTCCTGATATTTTCTGTGAACCGGATAGCCGAGTCAGGGAAAACAGACACTACACAATTTTAGAATAGCTTCTTAAAGTGGTCATAAGGATTTTCCCAAAAGGAGAGTCTTGGACCCTTCCTTGGCACCTTTTAGGCATTTAACAAGTTTTCTCTCATCTCTGAGCTGCACCTGCCCTGCAATGGCCCTTCCACAGTGCTGAAAAGAAATACTGAGACAATGAAAAGCTGGTCAAGAACGTCTCTGGTGCACAACAAACATTTCTCTGTAAGTCATCGTATGGATGATTGACATATCTCAGTAAGATTCATACAGGGCTATTGATAGAGAGGAACTTGATACCACCAGATGTTAAATATATTTATTTACTCAATACAGTTTACAACAAATTTGGCATAATTTACAGCATATGAGCTGAGGGGTTGTGGGGAGGCAGGTAAAAGTCAGCTCATGTGGGTGAGCCTGTTTTTTTAATTAACTGAATCAGTCAAGATGGGGCTTTATTTTATGTCTGTGCATATGCTTCAGTGTTCCTCGGAAAACTGGCACATAGCTAGACATCAGGAAGGAAGAAATTGATGCAGACTCTAGCTTCTATGTCTACAGAGTCCCCGAGGGCAAGACTTCATCTTGTTCATAATCACAGAACCTGACACTTACCAGGTGCTTCATAGATGCTTGATGGAGAACTATAGACGGAACTGAAGCAAAAGGATGATTAGTGAAGAATGCAATTAGTGGGCTCTAAAGATGATGCTCATTGATGAGGACAGCAATTGAATATTGACTTGCATTCTGTGTTAAGTACAGAGAAAACATTTTCCTGTTTCTTTGACTTTAGATTGTTTACATGTAAATTGGAGATTTGAATCAGAAAATCCCAAAAGTCCTTCTATATCTAAAATGCTGATGATCTATTCCCAATTATTGCACCCAGAAAGTGTTAT